AAAATCAAGTGGATGATATTGAAGAAGTTGATGATGTTATAGGAAGAAATAAAAGAAAAAAAAGATCTTAAGTTTGGGATGAGTTTAAGGAATTTATTCTTCCTATTGGGCAAAGAAAGGGAGAATGTGTGTATTGTAAAAAACAACTACTTATTGGAGTTATTGGTGCAACTACACAATTTAAAATATATTTGGATCGATGTGCTGCTAGGATTCGTGCCTTAAAAAAGCATAAAATCTTACATTTTCAACCAACAAATATAGAAAACTCGTTCTCCTGGAGCAGTCAAGATGGTGGAATGTAGTGAAAAGAAAAATTTTCTATAAGTTTCCTTTTATTCAAGTTCCCTTTCGTTCTATATTGTAAACAATCCAAATTGGTGGACCAAAATATAATTATCCTACTGTCAAACAATCATATGTTTAAGTTCCCTTTTGTTTCAATCAATGTCATATCCAATTTCATCTATATTGTTGATATGTTTCTATTAATTTCTTTCACCGCCTTCTAAATTTTCTAAAAGAATATTGTAGGTGATGTTCTTCAAATGCATTTTTCACTTTGATTAATTCATTAGTTGTATCTTTAGTTTTGACCCCTTTTCTAAAATAATTATTATTTTGCTTTCATCTTAATTTTTCAAGTTTGCATCATATTAATTGGTGGTAGAGATTAGAGAGTAGAGATGAAAGAATTTGAAGAATATGGAATATCATATTGACAATGAATAAATAGTTCTATCTTTTATTGAGTTTTTACTTATGCTTTATCCTGAAACTTCTTAATGGGTTCTATGATTTTAATTGCTTTTTTTGCAATGATGTGATGATATGCAATTTGGTCTAACATTGATATGAATGCTTTATTTTTATATTGATCAAGTTTTTATAGTTCTTAACTGCATAAAAAATGCACTTGATAATTTAAAAAAATCTAAATAATTTTTTTAAAGGAGTTGATTGCGCCCAAAATATATTGATTTTCTACAACTTAACTTTTTTTTAAGGAAATTACAAGGTAAATTTGTATACATTTTATGACTACTTAAGTTATTTTTCATAATTGAAAATAAAATTAAATTAAGTGTTAGGAAAAAATAAAAATAAAAAGAAATTTTTGGTATATCAGACGACAAGTAAACCACAAGCCAATTAAACGAGTTGAGTTAGAGCTTTTCAAACAAGCTTGATCTTGAGCTCGAGCTTTCAAATGAGCTCGAGCTTGATATTTCTTAAACGAGTTGATCTCGAACCCACTAAACGAGCTCGAACTCAAGCTCGAGCTAATTAAGGGATTAACGAGCCAGGCTTGATAAGGTAGATACTCGGCTCGACTCGACTCGTTTACAGCCCTAATTGGTCTTCAATTGATGTTCCTGTAGGACTCCCAAGAACATCTTCAAGTGCTCCAGATACTCCTCAATTTTGTTGTAAACCAGTATTTCATCAAAAAAGACCAAAACAAACTTCCGGAGGTACTGGTTAAACACCATGTTCATCAGTGACAAGAAAATAGCAGGGGAGTTGGTGAGCACAAACAGCATTACCAGAAACTTATACTGCCCCACGTGTGTCCTGAAAGCTATCTTTGAGATGTCTGCCTCCCTCATTCTGATCTAATGGTACCCATACTTCAAATCCAGCTTGGAGAACATCATTGCCCCATACAGTTCATCCAAGAGCTCATCAATCACGGTAATAGAGAACTTATCTGGAACTGTCCCCTTGTTCAAAGCTCTGTACTCCACACAAAACCACTAGCTCCTGTCCTTCTTCTTGACTAGTAGAACTGTACTAGAGAAATGACTCACACTCGGCCTGATGATTCCAGCGTCCAGTATCTCACGGATAAGCTTCTCAATCTCATCATTCTGAAATTGAGGATATCGATAGCGCCTGACACTAATGGGTGACACACCTTCCCTCAAGGCGATGGTGTACTCCTGCTCCCTCAATGGTGGAAATCCCTGAGGTGGCTGAAACACCTCATGGAATTATTGAATCAACGGCTATAGGGAGAGGCGTATGTCCCCTCCCTCCTCCAATCTAGCTCCCTCCAAATTGTGCAGCTCCACCAAATATCCTCCAACCACTTCCTCTATGGTCTTGACCAAAGACTTGAGAGATACCCAGTCCTTGACAGCCCAACATCACCTTGAATCACATTTTTCTTCTCGCCTACCACTAGTTCCATTCTCAGGGTTCCCCAATTTACCTTGGTATCTCCCAAAATATGTAGCCACTTCATCCCCAGGAAGACATCAGTCCTCCCCAACTCCAAGGGAAGAAAATTCTCTATCACCTGTATCCCCTGAATGGTCAACACCACTCCCCTACAAACTCTTCTACACATTTCCACCTTTCTCGTGTCCATCATCACCCCATAACCTCCTGCATCCACTAATTTCACACCCAGCAGATCAGCAATCTAGGTGGAGATGAAATAGTGGGTTGCCCCACTATCTATCAACACTACCACCTCTCTATCAGCTATCTCTCCCTTCACTTTTATAGTGTGATTCGGAGTGAATCCCGACACTGAGTTTAGGGAGATTTCTGTCACATCTAGATGCAACTTCTCTTCCTCCATCTCTAACCTGCTCCCACCTGCCTCTTCAGCTTCCTCGTCATCACAGACGGTAAGAACCTGAAGGGTTTGGTTCTTATACTTATGCCCGACGTGTACTTCTCATTATATCTAAAACACAACCCCTTTGTCCTCTTCTCATGTATCTCCTTCTATCAGTCTTTTGAAATTTTCCCCATTTCCCCCTCCTCCAGCTCTCTCCTTGGGCACTTCCTTCAGATTCCCTAGCACGGGCCCCATGGAGCTAAGAAGATGGTAGTCAGCCTGTACGATCCCCCGAAGTTGCTCCACCTAGCCCCCCTCTCCAGCTGCTTCTGATACTCCACCAACTAGGCTAGCTCCATGGCCTCCCCCGGGTCCCTTGGCCTCATCACCCTAACTGCTGCTCGTACCTCCGGTTTAAGCCATTTCATAAAATTTCCTCTAGCACTGTCTCAGAGAGACGATCTAATCTGCTGGCCAAGTACTCGAACCTGTCACTGTAATCTGCCACCATCCCCTCTTGTGTCAAGGCAAAGAATTGCTCATAGAAGTCTCCTCCCCTACCGATTCGAAAACGTTCTAGTAAGCATTCTTTAAACTCCCTCTAGCTCCTGTTAGTTTGCCTCATGTCACGCCATTGGTATCATGCCAGTGCCTTCCCCTCCAAATACAATCCTGCCATTGTCAGATTCTCTTCCTCCATCAACCTGTTGACGGTGAAATATTGTTCCACCTTATAAATGCATCCATGGCCATCATCGCCCTCAAAGATGGGCATCTTCAGCTTCCTCCCCTTCGGATCTCCCCCATTACCCCTTATTCCTTAATAGCTTTTCCTCTCTCAAGTGTTTGGCCCTCCCCACGTCTCCCGGTCTTCCCTTGCCCTGTCATAACCCAAACCCTCTTCAAATTCCCCTCTCATTCCTTCAAATTCAGCACCTTGACGGCCATAATATCCCTCCCGGCATTCCCAATCAGCACCTCTTTGCTCCCCCCCCCACTCCCCTCTACCCATGCCTAACCCCATACCTACCTCCTCTATCCTCCCTCTAGAAATGCTCCAGATAGGATTTTCTTCTTTCTCCCTCCACGATCTCCGATCTCTGATCTCCATCTCATCTTCCTCCCTATGAATTTAAGAATTTGTATTCTTCCCTTCTAACCCTTTAACCACTGAAGCGGCCGTTTGGTTGTGGCTTTCTAAAATTTTCTTCATCATATATGGGAGATCAACTACTTGTCTTTCCATGGAGGAAATCCTGTCCTCCATCGTTGTCTTGATTTGGTTCATCTCCCCTTCAAGTTTTTCTTCCAGCGCATCCACTTTCTTGGTCGTCATCTTGATCCGAATTTTTGTAGATTCAAAAAATCTGGATTTGGATCACGAAAACAGCAACTTCCTCCTTCACGGGACAAAATGCAGCCGCTGAAATTCACCAAAATCAACTCACCAACGGTCCCAAGACTTGATCCGATACCAATTTGATAGGAAATACCTGAGTTCACAAGCAATCCCAACGGAAAGTACTTGCATTCGCAAGCAAATCTATCAAGAATTGGTAAAAACAGCGAGAAAACTTCAAGTTCTCCAATTTTAAAAAAATCTGAAAATAGTAGATTGTATTATAAGAATCAAATCAAAAGCTAGACAAGCAAAAGTTACAATTGATCCTCAATTCGAGAGGAAAATCATTCTCTCCCAATCTCTAGATGATGAATCTAGAGCCCAAAACCACAAAGAGAATTCTAAGAGAAACAATAATCATGCATGCCCTAACCCTAATCTCCTCGTTCTTTAAATACATATCTTCCTCATAAAAAGCCAATAAAAGGCTTCCTAAAATAAACCAATTCAAAAAAGGTTTCCCCATGTGTTAGCCACCCTCTCTCTCTCTCTCTCTCTCTCTCTCTCTCTCTCTCTCTCTCTCTCTCTCTCTCATTGCCACCCTAGGGGGGGCCACGGCTTGGGCAGCTGTTTAAAGGAGGCAGCTTAGCCTGCCTCCTATAAATTTGAAACGGCTCAGGTGGGGCCAGTTTGGATGGTTCAGAAAGAACCGTATCAAGTTATTAATGTTTCAATTTAGGGTGTCCAAAATTAACACAGAAGACAACCAAAAACTAATATTATTATGACCCATAATACAAGTGTAATCAAATAATTTCTGAAAAAATAGAAGTTTTACAATAGCAGGTACAAATTAGGGTACATAAGATTTATATAGAAGATAACCAAAAGGCAAAAACTAATGTCATTATAACCCAAACGCAATTGTAATTAAATAACTTTTAAGAAAATATAAATTTCAAAATAGCAGGCACAAATTTTCAACACAAAGAGGATAGGAAGAATGCATATTGTAATTGACGATCAAAAACACAACTACAACCATCTATAACCTATAAAGAAAATAAATGGCCAAAACATGTGCACCTCTTCTGCAATTCCCAGCGTCGTTTCCTTTCTAGGATATGCTGTAGTGCACACTTTGCTAACAGGTAGACACCAAAAACTGTGAACCCCATAGAAGCAAATTGACACCACCTATAGATATCCACATAAGTAGTCACCTATACCACCATAACGGAAATGTAACAGAAGATGAGAACAGGAAATAGGAAAACCTATACCTAGCCCATCTCCCAAGATTCGAGATTAGTTGATCAATATTTTTTGGTGTGACAAAAAAAGGACCTTTATGTGGTCGTTGAATACGAACTGTTCCAATATCATCTTTAATAGCCTGACCAAAGCAACGAAAACGCCCACACCAAAATTAGTCGACAGCAATACAACACAAACCAAAACCATAAATTTAAAAGTTTTGCATGCAAGGAGTAAATACAAATAATCCATACAAGTTGAAAATAGCAAACACCATTAGACATTAGTAGAGTCCCTTTGAGCACTCAAATGGACAACACTATTTTCAAACTGAGCATGTCAATAAGATCATTATTAGAAGGAAAATTTTCAACAAATCAAAAGCAATCGAGTCATGCAGTATCTATGTTCAACTCCATTACAGTTAAGCCCAACTTTTCCCTTGACGTTTTAAGTATTTAGTTGTAAAATTTTGCATCCTTAGATACCATTCTCTAATGCTAGATACCCATAGATATTCATATGAAGTCCAAGAAGTACCTCGCCAACCACAGTCAAGGGAGTACCCATGGGAAGAACTCTTTCAGTTCTCTTAACTCCAAGCATCTGCACCATAATGTTGATTTAAAGTTAAGACAAATCTCATCTGCAGAATTCCTATTATACATGGATTTAGAAGTTTACAAACCTTGAGTCCCTGCAGATAATCCAATGTTCCACGTACTAGAGACCGTCCTGATTCCTCAAACACTTCACTTGCAACAGTCAAGGCCAAACCTGCAGAACCTCGAGCCCCCACAACAAACACACGTCCAGTCCCATCATTCTGGTGACACATGAATAAAGTAAAAGATTTCATTAAAAGACTTTGTTTCAACTGAATGCCATAAATAGCATGTCTCATCAGAGGGACAAAAAGTTTTAGCACCCTCATCATCTCAACTTTAGAAGCACCTCTGTAGAATCTTTACATTTTGATTTCTAGGATAATTTGCATCATTAAGTGGAACGGAAATGTCCAAGTGCTCAATTGTAGTAACATATTTGATTTTTTTTTTTTTGGGAGGGGAGGCGAGAAATTAAGGGGTCCTAGAATGAGGGCAGTTAAGAGAAGATAACAACAAATCAGGGCCGTACAAAAAGCAGATTTAATGGTTTAGGAATTAGAATGCCGCATCACTGACTAAACCTTAAGTAGCGAGAACATTGAATGGAATTCACCTCAAGATTATGCTAACAATTATGATTAAAAATATTAGGAGCCAACAGCTGATATCAAGTGAATTAGAATTCTTTGTTTCTTCATTATACTGCAAAAATATAGCTCGCATGTGTCCCTCCTTCCATCAGGTATCAGTAAATGAGATGGCTTAAAAAGTTCAAAGACATGGAGTGAAATAAGCTAAAAAGAGCAAGCTTAGGCACGACAAAATTTGTAGTATTTTGCTACTAGATAAGTAATAACAGTTAGGTTATGCGGAAACAACAAAATAAAAGGATTAATCCAACATTTCAATAAAAAAATAATCTCCATGTGAAGTTCACATCTTAAAGTAGCACTCTTACACCTGAACAATGACATATAGATTGCAGGAACAAAGATCTAAAGCAGTATATAAAGAAAATAGAAGTATCAACATAGAATAGTTGTAATAGTTTGCATTATAGCTACTAAAGTTACCATGGAATCTTGAATTAAGAGTAACATACGTCTGCGACACCAAAAAAATATTTACAAGTTATTTGTGAATTAATACAATTTTACTTGAGCATTTTCAGTGCCCTGCACCAAAAAGATAGCACTCAATTCACAGTTTCAAAGGAAGAAAAGGAAGTGACAACTTACAAGATACCATGGAACCTCTTTACTCATGGAAAGCATCAAAGCAGAATCTTGTATCCATGATCCCGCATCATTATGCTTCAGAAAGTGTTGCTCTGCCTGATGAAAAAATTAACAGGGTATACACATAATTGCTAGAATATTTATAACAAATTTACCAAAGAAAGTTTCCACTATTGATAGAAGGGGAAAGATGCATACCGTCTCCTCAACTATTACCCCTCTCAAACCACTTTGTTCACAATGGATAGGTGTCTCTGAGCCAACTCTTCCAGAAACAGTAACGATAAAAGGTAAAACTTTGCAGGCAGTATCCAAAAGAACAGCTGGAGAAGATTAAAAAAAAAAAACAAAAAATCTTATATGTATTCCTGAATTAGCAAACTATTGTTAAAAATATTAGTTATACTCCTCTCTTAGTTCTTTAAATATAATGCTTTCCACCTAATAAGGTAAGGAGTTATTTGATATATTAGCAGTCATGTTAGAATATCATTATTACGTTATTTTTTTAAAAATTAGTGCCCAAACATACTTACAGTAACCATAGCAGCAATCAAGTAAAACATCATGATGCAACCTAAATAACAACCTTGAGTCTAGGAATGCGAATTACAAACATCCTTCAATATAACAAAAACAAACACTGATAGAACAGAACAACAAACCACTTCAAACTCACATTAAACAGGACACAACAACAATTACAAATTCTAAAAAAACAAGACAAAACAGCACTTCAACTTTCAATAAAATAGGACACAACAACTTACAACTTACAAAAGTTTCGAGAAGAATGATACAGATGGAATGAAAACAATGGAGAGAAGAAGAAGATAGAAGTTCAAGACTAATTAGTAGAGGGAAGATGGAAGATGATAGCTTGCAAGCTAAAAACCCGCAGGTTTAACATTTCAAAAATTCATCACAAATATGTCCTTCACAAAGGAAATCAGTAACTTTATATTGGAGATAAAGGGGAAAAAGGCATTAAATGCTCTCCTAAATGAACCACCAAAACAGCCACAAAAATACACCCAACACAACCACCATGAAGGGAAGTCAATACATCATTTATAGGAATCAGCAATGAGTAAAAGACGAGCAATCAGCAGCAAGGAAATCGAAACAGCAGGAAATCTGAGCCAACGGGGAAAACGAAGGGCCAACAATATGGAAACATAAATCCAACAGGAAATTAATGAGCTAGCAGAGAAGCTGAAGGACCAACAGTAATGAAACCGAAATCCAGCAAAAAAACCGACGAGCCAACAGGAAACCGAGGGGCTAACAATAGAAAAAGAATAGCCACAAGAGAAAGAGAGCTAGAAACATAAGTTGAAAAAAAATAAAACATAAAATAGCTATCCTTAATTTCACCAATTCTCCTCTGGTAAAAGAATCTCATCTCCTGATGAGAATGCATCAGTAACACGCTGGAAGATATCTGGATGATGAAGTTGCAACTCCATAGCCAATCTGTGGATGAAAAGTTATAGATTACTTGGTTTGGGTAGTCAGGTTGAATGACAGAGTTCCCTGATGTTCTGAATGCGTTCCTTCTAACAACAGATCTTCCTCTTGAATTGGAATTTTGGCTTATTGATTGTTTTGATTATCTTTTTTTTAAGAGAGAGGAAGACTCACACGACAACTTAAAATTATGATATCAAAATTGATGCAACCTAAAAAACAACATTTATTCTAGGAATGTAAATTACAAACTTCCTTTCAATATAACAAAATTAAACATAGATAGAACATAACAACATACCACTTCAAACTCACATTAAATAGGATATAACAACACTTACAACTTCCAATAAAACAGTACAAAACAATACTTCAACTTTCAATAAAACAGGACACAATACCTTACAACTTATAAAAGTTTCGAGAAGAATGATACATGTGGAATGAATAACATGAAGAGAAGAAGAAGATAGAAGTCCAAGACGAACTAGTAGAGGGAGAAGAGGATAGCTCACAAACTAAAAACCACATGATTGACATTCCAAAAATTCATCACAAATCTCTCCTTCACAAAGGAAATCAGCAATATTATATTGGAGAGGAAGGGGGAAAATGCATTAAATGCTCTCCTAAATAAGCCACCAAAACAACCACTAAAATACACTCGAAACAGCCACCATAAAGGGAATTCAAAACATCATTTATAGCAATGAGCAAAAGACGAGCAGCAAGAAGCAAGGAAATCGAGACAGCAGGGAATCCAAGCAAGCAGGGAAACCAAAGGGCCATGATGGGGACATCAGATTTTGACACGTGTACCATTGCCGGCGCAGACAGGCTACGATCCAGAGTCTCTATTTCTGATTTATTTACAACTTATATCATGTGTACTTTCTTTAGTTTTCCTAGTTTGCCCCTGAGGGCATTGTTTTACTTTTGTAGCCCTGAGGACATTTCTGTCTTTTCAGTTTCTTTATTTTTGGGTCTCCTTATATGAGGCATCATGTATTGTAATGACTTAGTTTTTGGAAAAATGAAAATGACATTTCATGTTCTCTTTGTGAGTGCAAACCTCCTCGATCTCTTAGTGAGTTCGTTGGAGAAACTAGATCTCTTTGTGAGTTCTAGGTTTTATTGTTCTTCAATTTTTTTTTCTTTCTTTTAATTTTCTTGATCTCGTCGTCGTCACGGAGGTTTGGGTGAAAGCATTTGTGGAAGATTGGAATTCACTCTTCGGATCCCTAGATTTTCCCTACCTCTTCCCCTCCCTTGCTCTTTGCCGCCGCCCCCTCCCTGGATTGCCCAGGCCGCCGGCCTGCAGCCCCCAAACCGCCGGCCAGCCCGCCGGCCATCCTCCCCCCTTGCCGCTGCCCCTTTCCCTTCCTTCAAATTTCAGATTTGAAATTCAACCGTGAGTCAAGATTGTTTCCTAAAGTGTTTTCCTTAATTCATGCAATTGAATTAATTGGATTTGAATTTCGATTTTGAAATTCAAAATCCACCCAATTAATTGTCTGTAATTTAGGAAACTCTTTTGTGTTTAGAGCTGAAATTATTTCAGAATTTTATTGAAATCAATTGAGTAATCAAGTGGGCCCCACCTCCTCAAAACCGAAATCCCCTCTCTCCTCTAGCTTGGCCGACCTCTCCATGGCTGCCTTCTCTCTCCCAAATTAATTCCCAATCTCCACCAATTCAGCCACAAATCTCTCCCCTTGGCCGCCCTTCTTCCCCCCTTAGACTTGATTTGAATTTTCAAATTAAGTCCTCCTCTAATTGCCCAAAACCTGAATTTTCTCTCAGAATTCATGCACCTCCCCCTTTGACTCGCGGTTCGCTCGCTCGCCTCCCTTCTTTGGCTTCTTCACTCACTACCACCATGCATGGCGGACCCCGAGTTTGAGTGGGGACTTGTGTTCGACGCTCACGGCAACCTCGACATCTAACAATTGTCGTTCTTCGACGCGGGATTTGATTCCGACAACGATACCGTTGGAGCCTACTTAGATCGGATCCTACCGACCCTCATACACGTCATTGACAAACAACGTCCAGACTCCGAGTGGATCATTGACGGCCGTCCACCCGCTCCTCCAAATCTGGCTTCTTCCCCGGCGAGGAGTCCTCTCGGGGTCACTTATCTACTAGTGGCATCGCTAAGTCTACTTACGATTCTCCTCCGCTAACCACCACTTTCAAAACGAGTGAAGGACTTCAAGGTGAATGATCTATATATTAAATTTGGGGCTTTGTTATTCTTAGCTATTTGCATTACATAAATTTTTGTTGTTATTTTGAAAAGCTCCTCAAATCTCTACATGTAATTTATTGTTATTGCTTAATCTATCAACGTCTTATTTTTAAACTCAACTTGAGCAAACAAAGAGTTTTGGTAGCAAGGTAAAAGTCATTACTTCTATTAATTTCTCAAGTGCAATTCTTAATTCACCGCATGTTGTTTCACATCAGGCCAACAACATGGAAACTGAAATCCAGCAAGAAAACAGTGAGCTAGCAGGAAAACAAAAGGTCCAACAGGAAATCGAGGGGGTAACAGCAAGAAACGAACTGTCACGACCCATCCCAGCGAGCTCGCATAGGCGATGTGGGAATGGAGGTCACACGGTAAACTAAACTTTCACATTTTTTTCCATAAATATTATTTTGATGAATGGGAAGTTTGAGCATGCAAAAGTAAGCATAATGAAAATAATTTTCCAAAATTAGGGTTTTAGGTTAAATCCGAAAACAAAAAGTATTTTATGAATTATATAACTTTTAATGAGGTTTAAAGAGGGCTAAAAATATGATTTTCATAAAATTAGAGTTGATATGTTATCAAAAAATTATCTTGATCGGACACAAATCTCGAGGCAAAAATCAAGCTGGAAAACTTCAAAAATTAAATTTGGGATCACCTGAACTCCGATTTCAGCAAACTTATAGTCGAAATGAGCGTCTCGGAAATACGAACCCAACGACACCAAATTCGACTCAATCCGAGCCCAAAAGAGTCCAAATCAAGGCTTAGAAGCGCTGTTACAAGGTTTGAATAGCAATTTGAATTACCAAACGGTCTCTAAACATAACAAGCTTATGCTCGAAACGAGCGGCTCGACAAAACGAATCCAACGAGCCCAAGAGCACTGAATTCCAAAATCATTAAGGCCTCCAAATGTCTGACGAACGATCCATAATCCAGGGGTTCAATATCAGTCGTCCATCCAACCACTCCCCATTTACACTTGATCTCTCACCTTTTTACGGACCATGTCACTCCATAAATCTATAAATAGAGCTCCCTCTCTTCTTGAGCGGGGATCCCGAAGCCTAAGAAAAAAAGATAGAGATCGAAGATCGCTCTTGCTTCCTTGCCTCCTCGACCACTGTCGGAGTTTTGCCATCGTCGGAGTTCCGACGAACCACCACTGGTCCACCACCACCTGACGTCGTTGCTCCACCAGACCACCACTTGAGGCCCTCACCGCCTGACGCCGTTGCTCAGCCGGACCACCACTTGAGGCCCTCACCATCGCCGGACAACCGCCTGACGCCTTTGCTTCGCCGGACCACCACTTGAGGCCCTCACCACCGCCGGACCACCACCTGAGGCCCTCACCACCTGACGTCGTTGCTCCGCCGGACCACCACCTGACCCCGTTGCTCCGTCGAACCATCACTTGAGACCCTCACCTCCGTCGGACCACTGTCTGACGTCGTTGCTCCGCCGGACTACCACCTAAGGCCCTCGCCTTCGTTGGACCACCACTTGAATCCCTCGCCTCCACCGGACCACCGCCTGACGCCGTTGCTCTGCCGGACCATCACCTGAGGCCCGGACTTCTTCCGGACC